AATTAGCCGGGAAGGGTTGCAGCTCTGGGCCGCGGCGCAAAGGCCCCTCCTGGCATAAAAGATTCATCAAGAAACACTCCGAACAGCAACGCTGCCACCTTCCGTGTCAGCCGGCCCTGGGGACGGGAGCTAAAAATAGACAGGAGGCTGAAGAATCGCTGACAGAGGGGGAGGCGGGGGGAGGGGCAGCGCCCCCAGTGTGGCCGCGCGGAGCATGCGTGCGCTCCGAGGCACGGGCGGCAGTCGGTGCCACGCAGGCCAGGCCGGGGCCGCACGCCGGCTCTGGCGCGGCCGTCCCCCGCCAGGGGCTGTGGCTGTTAACACTGGGGGGCCCCAGGGCCCCTCAGTGCAGAATCAAAGATACCTTTGACTGGTGAGAAACCACAGCCTGGATCGACGCGAAGCCGCCGGCGGGCGGGCGTGCGCGGCCACCGCCACCTTCAGGGATTCGGTCCCCAGAGCCTTCCTGCGAGGCCTCGGTCCCTACACCCCCTGCAGCCCCGCCCACCGTGCCCCAGCTCTTCCTTCAGCTCCGGAGCCCCATCCCTGGTCGCACAGGCTGGCCCCGGCCCAGGACTGCTTCTGGGTTCCGTGGAGGGCGTGGGTCCCCGCGTAAAGGGCCCCTTGACCGCAGGCCACGCCACGGGAGCCCGGAGCCCAGGGCGCCAGGCCCCCGTCCCAGAGCCCACAGACCCTCCTAGCCGAGGCCCCGGCCTCCCAGCTGGCTGAGCCCCGGGGGTTTTGTGGGGGGCAGCATGGCGGCTGCTGGACTCCTGGGCTGGTGCCCCGCGTGGCTACGGCCGGCGCCGCAGGTCTGGTCAGAGGGCCAGTCAACCGCATTTGCTCAGTAGGAGCCTTTCCAAAGTGAAGACGTTGGGCCCCGGGGCTGCCTTTGGTCTTCTGCCCACTTGGGGGCCCTGCAGGCCTCACCCTGTGTGGGCTGGGTGGCCTCAGGTGCCTGGTGGCCCCCGCACCTGTGGCTCCTTTCACTCAGATGGTCCTCAGAAATGGCTCCCTCTCCCCAAAACCACAGGCACGACTGGAAGGCACTGTTCTCACCTCAAAAGGAACCTATTTAAGTTTCAAATGCTCCTTGCAAAACACCGACGCCCCCTCTCCTGCTTTCCCCCTTTGCCACCACCTAGTTGCCCTCTAGCGAGGTGCAAGCTCCAGCAAGGAGGGTCTGAGGAGAGACAATGGCGGAGCTCCCGACACAAGTCAGTCCACAGAATCCGCACCCTCCCTCTGTGGTGTGTACAGATGCGGAACCCGAGGCCCACAGGGAGCACCTGCCTGAGATCACAGCCCAGCTCCTGCAGGCCGGCAGCATGGGGAGGGGCCTCGGGGAGGGACGGGTCTGCAGCTGCCGCTCCGAGGTCCGACCGTCCAGCGAGGACGTGGCTGGGGAGGTGAGCAAGCCTGGGGTCGCTCCCAGACATCCCCTGAACCCTGCTCTGCGCCGTGTCTGGCGGCCACGCCCCGGAGCCAGGCCGGATGCCAAGCTGACGCCCACACTAGGCCGTCCCAGGCGGTGCCGGCAGAGGCGAGGGGACAGGAGAGCAGCAGGGCGGGCGGGGAGGAAGTCCCTCCAAGGAGAAAACAAACACCCGAGGGACAGGGGGAGGCGCTGGCTCTGTGGCAAAGTGCGGGCAGCTGTCGGCGCAGAAGAGAAGCCCGTGCAAAGGCCCCGAGGCAGGAAGGGGTGTGGGCCGCAGAGCAAAGGGGCAGCTCAGGCGGGAGCGGGAGGGGATCAGAGTTTGCCGGAACAAACTCTGATGCCACTGTGGCCCAGTGCTCAGCAGAGGCCGGGGCATAGAGCCACGGGGCGGGCATGGGCTGAGCAGGGGCCAGGAGCCAGTCCGCCAGTTCCCGGACTCACCCGGGCACTGGGCACATACGGAGGGGAAATTTTTCCTCAGGGGGACGGTGGGGAGGCAGAAAATGAGCCGGGCTTGGGACAGGCGGTGTGTGAGATGCCCGCAGGGCCCTGTGGAGGGAGGCGGAGCCCGCAAAGCCAGCGGGGGGGGGGGGGGGGGGGGCCAAGCCGCCCAGGTTGGGGAGGGGGCGGAGCCCCAGGTCAAGGGAGCACAGGCGTCACCGAGGCCCAGCAAGTCCTGCCAAAGGCAGCGAGAGGCCAGCAGGATACAGACGGGGTGTCCTTGGGCCTGGCCACCCTGCTAGGGCCGGAGGCTGGGGGAAAGAGGTCAAGGATTCCCGTGGGCGTTGGGAATTTAGTATGCGGGACAAAGATGTTGTGGGGGGTGGGGGCAGCAGCCTTGCTAAAAGATGCCCCCAAGGGTCGTTGTGACAGTGTGGAAGGAGATGGGACCAGGGTCGCGGAGAGAACCCGGGCAAGCCTGCATCTGAGGGCCAAGGGGGCAGGCAAGGTTCTGAGACATGGCCCAAGACCCAGGGAGGCGTGGCTCAAAGGTCAAGGCCCCCGGAGAGGTCGGGAATGCGTGTGCCCCAGCCCAAGGGACGGGGTGGGTGGGCGCCATCCCGCCAAGGCTGCTGGGAGGTGGGGCAGGAGGGGGCGGGCCTGCGGGACAGCACCCTGTCCTGTGGCAAAGCAGACCCCAGGGCGTCCCCCTGGGCTCACGGTGGGACTCCAGGCCCCGAGGGGAACTGAGGGGGGCGGAATGAGGGAGAGCAGAAGAGGAGGGAGAGGGGGAGGCTGAGAGTGTGCCCAGCCCCACAGAGGGACCTGTGCGCCCCAACCCCAGGTAAGGTGGGGCGATGTCTCAGCAGGGCCAGTCGCCGGGAAGGACCCCAAGTGGCACTGGCCAGGTGACAGGCACATGTGGAACGCAGCAGGGCCCGGCCTGCCCGACGAGGGCTCCAGGCTCTGCCTTGCTCCCCCCAGCCTGGTGGAAGCCCTGTCCCCTTCACGCCTGGCTCACAGCCCTGCTTCCTGCAGCCCCGGCTCAGGGTCTCAGGGTTTGCCGCCGGACTCGGACTCGCTGGAGCCCCGACCGCAGGACCGGCTCCAGCAAAGAGCGAGGGGAGGAAAGGCAGGGGCAGGAGAGGCCCAGCAGCAGCCGAGGCTCCTCCGGCCACGGCAGGGGCCCTACTGCCATGCGGCCTTGGGAGGCCTGTCGCCCACCCACCCCGCAGGGCCTGGGAGCCCCGGAAGGGGCAGGGGCGGGCGCGCGGCCAGCCAGGCAGGTGGTCGCCCTCAGCCACAGGAAGCAGCACATGCGGGCCTCGTTCCACCTGTGGCAACAGGTCGGCTGCCTAGAAGCTTTTGGCACTGGCTCTTCTTCGGGAGGCATGGGATCTGCGTGGGGAGCAGACGCGCGGGGGCGGAAGGGGCCCGGGGCGCTTCTGGAAGCAGGGGCCCCGGTCGGTTGCCTGCAAGGCTGCCACCACCTAGGCGGCAGGTGCTGGAGATCCCGCTCCCCAGGCCGCTCCGCTCCCCCTCCAGCTTTGAGTCCCGGGCTCCTCACCCAGGAGAGCGGCCCTGGTGGCAGGCGCGGCCTGGTCCTGAGCAGCCTGGGCAGAGGCCGCCTCCACCCAGCCACGGAGAGTCATGGCAGGGTCCAAACCCAGGCTCTGCAGGACCGGCTGTGCGACCTTCCACAGGCGCCTGGGCCTTGGGGTCCGCGGTGCTCGCCCGTGTCAGAGGGGAGGGGCTGAGGGAAGCGGGCGGGGGGGGGGGGGGCTGGGCGCCCCAGGCAGGGCGCACACCCTGACTGCCACCAGGGAGGAGTCTGTGAGGCTCATTGTAAAACTGTCAGGACTTAAGGGACATCCTCCTGCCTTCACTCACTCAACACCCAGCGACTGTGAGCCTTGAACGCTTGGCTGCCGTGGGCTCCCCCGTGGCCGGGCACCAAGCAGTTGGGGTTCCGGCTCCTGGGCCTCTCAGCACCACACCTGCCTCCCTCATCTTCCTGGGGGCCGGCCACTCCTGGGCAGCACTTCACCCCAGCTCCCAGCTGGAGGGCCACCTCCCAGGCACCTCACCCACTCCTCCGAGCACCCGCACGGCCGTCTCCTCCCCAACTTGGCCAAGCCTTGCACACAGTAGGACGCACGCATTTCTTAAAGAGCTCCCATCACGTGCCAAGGCGGTTCCAGGCCCCAGTGACACATTAGAAGCAAACATGCTCCAGGCCCTGAAGCTCGGTCCGGGGTCGGGGGGCAAATGGGCTCCCGAGTCAGGGACAGGGAAGTGCCTCGACGGCGACCGGGGCACCCCGGTGGGGGTCTGGGCTCCTCTGAGACGGTGGCACCAGGCCCAGACCGTGGTGCCGATTCGGCCCGAAGGTGGGCAGGAGGCTCGAGCAGGGCGGAAGGGAGCAGGCTGGGCGGGCGGCAGGAACGTGGATGCGCCGGGCCAGGAGCTCTCGGCGGGAGGTGAACCAGAGAGCGCCTGGCGCTGCGAGGAGGCCGCGCGAGGGCGGGCGGGAGCGGGGAGGAGGCCGTGGTGGCCCCGGTGCCAGGAAGGCCGGGCAGCAGTGGGTGTGGGCGGGGGGGCCAGAGTCCAGGAGCCCAACCTCATACTTGCCAGGTGAAGAAAACCCCAGCGAGGCCGCCTGCCCCACAGTCGCCCTGGAGCTCCCCGGCGGGGCCGCCAGGCAGCAGCCTCATGGGCCCGCTCACATGAGACCAAAACCGTGTAGCTCCAGCCGTGGCCCAGTGAGCCCGGCGGGGGCTGTGACCCGCCAGGATCCGTCCCGGCCGGAGGGTCTCTCTCCGCACCCCCAGGGCAGAGCCCAGCCTGGCAGCTGAGGCGGGAAAGGCCACGAGGCCCGGATACCCAGGCCCCAGCAGGGGAGGGTCCTCGCCCTGGCACAGCCTGTGTGCAGTGGCAGAGGCCCCAAGGCACTGAGCCCACCCTTGGAAGGGCGTGCTGACAACAAGCTCGTGAAGGGGTCTCTCTGGTCCCATCCGGCCCCACCCCCCTGGCCCTCTGAGGGCCTGCCCCGCGGCCCAGGAGGGGCTTGTGTGACTCGGTTTCTCCTGGGAGCCCGGCGAGCGGCAAGGGGGCCACTCACCACGAGCTGGGGCACGGGCAGCGACTTGCCCTCCTGGCTCAGGGACACGTAGGTGAAGAAGGCGCTGGCGGCCCGGTAGCGCTTCTGGGTGCTGCCCACCACGGGGTCGGCGTCCACCAGGACCTCGATCTCCATGGACTTGTTGCTCGTGAAGGTCATGCGCCCCGAGATGGTGATCACGTACCCTGCAGGGCGCGGGCGGCAGGTTAGGGGGGCACGGGCCAGGGGGGCGGGGGCTGGGGGGCGCGGGAACCGGGGCTACTGAGGACAGTGGCAGATGCCGGGTGAGGCAGCGCACGTGGCTTTAATAACTACTAGGACAGGAGAACGACAGGCATTCGTACCCGTGAGCGTTCTCACGTATGGAAGACGTTAGGCCTGGAGGATCTTGGGGCCAGGACCCGGCCCCCTGCCTGGGCGTGGGCCTCTGTCCCCTGGCAGGGGCAGTGTCTGCTGGGAAAATGCCGCCACACACTCCTGTCCCCCAGGGCAAGCCCCCGACCAGCCTGCAGCGCACGCAGCCCGTGGGAGCTGGCTCCGTCCCCTGCAGCCTGCGCCGGGCACGCTGGGGCCTCGCTGGGGCCCACAGAGCCCTGCAGCAGCCCCCATGCCGCCCTGAGCACTGCTGGGGAGCGTCTTCTCACTTCCCAGGCCCCTGCCAGGCTCCCTGGCTGCAAGGCCCCTGCAGCTGGTCCGAAGGGCTCATATGACTTGGCCAGGCCAAGCTGCCATGCTGACTGTGGCCCCGCGTGCCCCGAGCTGGAGTTCACACTTCAGCCCGAGCGGCCCACTGGCCGCCCCTCTGGCCAGGCCACACCTTGCCAGGCCCTCCTCTGAGCCGTGCACACCAGCCTTCCTGAGACGCATCTCGCCCTGCCCCTGGTCAGAGGCCCCGGGGGCCCCCCCCGCTCCCCGCAGCCTCCCTCGGGGGTTATGACAAAGCCTGAGGTCCTGTGTTCCCATGACACGGTCCCAGGTGTCCTCACGCCCTCGGCCCAGGCCGCCCTCTCGCACCTTCCCTGCCCTGGGGTCGGGGGTTCCCACCCTGGCAGCTGCTCCCTGACCTGGAGCCTGGTCGGCGGCTCTTCCGGAGACCAAGCCCCTGTGGCACAGCGTCATCATGGGGACGGCATGGAATGAGCCACGGGCCGGCCTGCACAGTCACTGCCGTCCCCGCTGGGGCTGCTTGGGCCCTGGAGCCACACAAACCATTGGGGGCGTCCCAGGGAAGGGCTGGCCCCCGGCTGTGCCTCCTGAAACATGTGGCCGGACACCCTCCCCCGCCACGGGTGAGGCCTCACTCCAGCCCGGCTCTAGGGAGCCCCTGCCCAAGTCCCACGTGTAGGGACTGCTCCCCAGGAGCCGCGCCGACTGCGACTTGCTAGAACCACGTGTCCCTGTCTCTGAGAGGGCAAAGGCTGTGGTGGGGGCTGCCAGCGAAGCATTCTGGCTCTTGGAAGGAACCGCTGTATTATGAACTGTAAGCAGCAATCAAGAACATTCCTTCTTTCTTCTCCATTACAGTTGCCCGCACACGGGGACCTTCCTCTGGGAAGCGACAATGCGGCGTGACAGAGCCCGACAGTCCCCCGGGGACCAGGCCCAGGAGCAGGCCAGGCTCCGAGAGGCCCAAGCTCCTCCACACACAGAACAAGACGCGACCCGAGAAAACAGAGACAGTTGCTGCTCCGCAGGGGCCCTGGCCAGCCAAGGCTGGGACACCCCCGCCCCCCGCCCATCGGGGACACCCTCACCCTCAGCGGCTGAGGGAACCCACCCACCGTGGGATGTCTGCCAGGAATCACGCCCTGAAAATGAAGGCCCCTCTCTCTGTGTTTTGGAACAAGAGCAGCTTTTAAAAACGACTGTCTGTGCGAAGCAGATCCCCCCAGCAGCTGCCCCTCGTTGTCCAGGCGGCTAAACCAGTCCCTCAACAAGGCACCCACTGCGACCTGAGCCCACGGTCGCCCTGACAACCAGCCACCCCCTGGGCCGGAGGCAGCCATGCCCTGCCTGGCCTCCTCTTCCTCGAAAGTTAGCTCTGGTCAGGCTGGAGGGAGGGCGCGGGGCCGGGGGTCTACATGGTTCTTCCTTTGCAGCCGAGGCCAGCTTTTCATCTCTGGGAGCTTCCCCGACGGCAAAGCCCAGCTGCCGGCCAAGATGGAGGCGGGAAACTGGACTTTTCTGAGGCGGCGGCTCTCAAATCTCAAAGGGCAAGGGGGCAGCAGGGAACAGGGCAGGCTCGTGGGAAGGCCAGGCGCTTCCCACTGCGGTCTGGACGCCGTGTACGTAACAGGCGGTCACAGGACCCGTTCTAGAAAAGGGGCCCGGGCGTCCTTTCCCGAAGTTCACGCCAGCACCGCACACAACACGGAGGCCGTGGAGGCGGCCCAAGGTGGACAAGGCTCGCCGGTTTGGGCCAGATTCTACAAGGACACCGTAGATGTCACTGTCCCCAGCAAACACCCACAGTAAGGACAGGCCTGCAACGCAGAGGGGGCCAGGGCCACAGACTGTCCTCCCCGAACCTACCAGCACCCCAGTACCACTTCGGTCAGTAAGCCGCACTTGTTCTCCATGACGCCAGGGGGGGGCGGTGACCCTCTACCCTTCTGATTTCGGGGCGGGGGACCCGCCGGGTCCCAGTGGACCGGCCAGGGCCCCGCAGGGTCGGGAGAGGCCTTCGTGGCCCTGGACGCAGCACCGCTCGCTTCTCCAGGCAGGCGGCAGGGAGCGCCGAGCGCTTTCTTCTCCTTCGTCACCTCCCCTGGCCAGGGACCAACCACCCGACAGCTCTTCCCAACAGGCTGCCCCCCAGCGAGGCCCCGCCAGCCAGCCCTGGGCCCGCAGCCCTGGCATCGCCCGAACCCCGCGAGGACCGCTCTCCGGGGCGCAGGGCCTCGCCCCAGGAGGCACAACACGGCAGAAACGGCCTCGTTTCAGGAGGGGACACTCGCTTTACATCCTCAGGGCAGCGGGGACACGAGGCCAGAGAGAGGGGCAGCACGCGCCTGCCACAGAGGCGCACGCACCGTGAGACGCCAGCTCCGTCTCCAGGCCGGGCCCCCAGACTGCACGTGTGCCCGCAAGACGAGCAAAGGCCAGCAGTGCCCGGGGCGGGGGCGCGGGGGGGAACCACAGGCAGGCCCGCCCGTGGAGGGCTGCGTGCGGGCGGGGCTCCTCCGCGCAGACCCCACCGTGGCATGCACCTCTGGCAAGTCCCCCCGCCCCCGAGGAAACACGCACCACGCAATCTGGTGGCGATGGTCCCGGCTGCCGTGAGCCCAGGAGCTCCGCAGCGCTCCGCTCGTTCCGTTCACGGGGCATTTTAAAAGGGGGAGCGTGGGTTGCCCTTGGGCAGGATAAAGGCTGCGGTCACGCTGGGATGGCAGGGGTTACCAGACTGAAAAGCCAGATCAGCGAGCCCTGGGCTTGGGGGACACTTCCCCAGCAGGGCGCACGAGACCCTGGCCTCCCGCAGCTCGCGGGCAGCGGGCAGGCGCACGGGCCCAGGCGGCTCCGGGTGCGAACCGGCAGCAAACGGTGCCAGGGCCCTGCCGCCGCCCGCCAGGATCCGTCCCTTCACTCGGTCAGGCAGAGTTCTGTTACCTTTTCTGATCTTGTCGTGGAAGTTGATGGCGTCCACGGAAGCTGTGACTATGTTGGTCTTGCAGTGACGTGCGGCCACGATCCCAGCCACCTCGTCCATGAGCTTCATGGTGACACCTGTGCCGGGAAGAGGCGGGGGGCGGATCAGACCCGGGGTGAGGGCAAGACTATCTGCTCCCCTGGAAACAAGGCACAGAAAACAAAGCCCCCCAGACACCCGCCGGCGGGGGCGCCACAGTGCGGGGCGGGGCCAGGGACAGCCTGAGCGTTGGAAAACAACCCGGCGGGTCTTCTAGGCCACTAACAAAATTGCAACCTTTTTTCCTAACCTCTGCAGAGATCTAATCCTGTCAGGGAATTTTGTTACGACATCCACTGAGCGGCTGCACCAAGGCCAGATACCAAGTGTCACCAAGAACGCGGAGGAACCACAACTGGGGACTGCGGGTGGGGGGCAGGGGCAGCCGCTTCGGGAGTGGGGGTTTCAGAGGAGGCCACCGCGGAGTCACCGCATGACTCAGCAGTTCCACCCCAAGGTACAAGCCCCAGAGAACTGAGAGCCTGCACACACTTCACGACGGCACCGCTCACATAGCCAGGTGGCGGAAACAACCCAATGTCCATCCGCTGACGAGTGGACAAGGAAGCGTGGCCCCTGTGTGCAATGGGATGTCATTTGGCAAAAAAGAAACAAAGTACTAACAGGCTACAACACAGATGAGCCTTAAAAACATGACGCTGAGTGAAGGAAGCCAGACACAAAGACCAGACACTGTGTAACTTCATGTATGTGAAATGTCCAGGGCAAATCCAGGGACAAATCCAGGGACAGAAAGCAGATCACTGGTTGCCAGGGGCTGGGGTGCAGAGTTCCTCCCTGGGTTATGAAAATATTCCGTAATCGACGGTGTTGACGGCGCTGCCCGACCTCACTCTCACGCACCCCACCCCCGTGCCCGCTCGGGGCGGCCTCTCCCCAGCGCTGAACACAAGGTGCGTGGACAACGCTGGCCCCTCCGGGCGGGGCCCGTCACTGTCCCCGTTTTTCTTTTCTTTCTTTTTTAAAAAATTTTACTTATTTATTTTTAGAGAGAGAAGAAGGAGGAATGAGAGGGAGGGAAACATCAATCGGTTGCCTCTGACACACTCCCAACTGGGGACCGAACCCACAACCCAGGCCTGTGCCCTGACTGGGAATCAAACCAGTGACCTTTTGCTTTGAGGGACGATACCCAACCCACTGAGCCATGCTGGCCAGGGCCATTGTCCCCATTTTTCAAAGTAGGAACCAGAGACACAGAGGGACGTGTCCAAAGACAGAACTCGCTCAGGGTAGAGTGGGGACCAGCCCACAACCCCAGGGCACCGGAGGCCGCAGAGCATAGCGCTGCCTCCCACCCAGGACCGGGGAGACCGAGGCTCCAAGTGGCATCCTAACCGTGGTTTGATTGTGGAAAAGGGAGCTCAAGGTCACGGCGAGAGGGAAAGGTGGCAGCGTGATTAGTGTGTAGCACGGAAGGTCACGGGCCCGGGGCGGCCAGCTCAGGCCACCGGTGTGTCTCCGGCTCGGGGGCTCGCTGGGCAGGAAGGGGGTAAGGAGGTGGGAAGGGAAGGACCAGTGTGAACTGGACTCAATGTCTGGAGTGCAGAAAGCACAGCGAACCCCTTCTCCGCATCCCTGAAAAGCAAAGCTACTGGGAACGGAGGAATAAATGGAAGAAGCCGGAATCAGCTCCAAACTGGGATTTTGCCCTGTTTATCCCAAGTGCTGGCAGAGAGTCCACAGGGGACTTCGCTGTTACTAATAATACTGCAGGAGCCGGAGCGCGTGCCAGCCGCCGGGCCCCGAGCCCAGGGCGGACACGGGGCAGGCCCGGGCAGCTGGGCAGCGCCCGAGGTCAGGGGCCCACTCAGCCCAGTCCAGCACCCGGGCCACCTGCAGCGTGCGTGACAAGTACCGGGTGGGGACACGCCTCACGGTCCCTGTGCCCCTGCCCCACCGTGAGGCGGGAAGACAGCACTCAGGAGCGGGCGCGGAAGGGAGGGCGGGAGGGTCGACCCCAGGACGGCAGGGCCCAGGTGCGGGCGAGTCCAGCGCGGTGACCCGGCGCGGCCAGGGGAGGGCTGCCCATCCAGACCACCGAGGCCCAAAGCCAGGCAACCCAGGCGACCGGTCAGAAATTGGTATTCCACACCGTCTTGCTCTGTCTGTGGGTGACATTTAGAGAGAAGCCCCTCCTGACCCCGGAGCCAGCAAACAAACAGGAGCTGGGGACAGAGGCAGGAGCCGCGCTTCGCTGCAAACCTGACCCAAAGCGCCTGAGTCGCACAGAAGGGCCGGCCCTCATGGACTGAGCTCGGGGACGCCTGTGCAACATCGGGGGTTGGCCCCAGCCACGGGGAGCAGCAGCAGGGGGCAGCAGCTGGGGACGCTGGCACTCACCCTGCAGGGCATGGCCGTCTGGAGAGCACGGGGCTGGCCCGCAGGGCAGGGCCTGGGGGCCCTGGGGGCTCCCCCGTGGACCAGCTCGCCCACCTCCATTCACCGGTACCTCCCGGGGGGCCGTGGCGGGGACAACGGGAAGTGACAGCCTGGTGGGCGTTAGGGCTCACGACACGGAAGACCCCAGCGCTGGCCTTGGACGCGGGCGCCCTGCTCGTGTGGGGTCTGAGGGCAGCCTGGGAATCAGACGCGGCAGCAGGGACCTCTGTCTGAGAAGAGGCCTCGCCAGAAACCTGCCTGTGCTTGGCCGCCCAAGTGCGTGTCACAAACGGCACGCCAGTGTCGCCGCGGTGGACGTGGAGACAGGAGGGCCTCGGAGGTCCCTTGTCCTGCACGTCAGGTGAACCCTGGAGGCTGCTGAGAAGGACGGCACCCGATCTCAACACGCCCCGCGATGCTGGCTCGCGGGTTTCGGGCCCGCTCCTCTCTCCTCTTGGTGAGGACAGCCTGGCGGCGCAGGGCTGGTTCCAGGCACCTCGCTATCGACCCACCGCTGAGGGAAAGGGGACAGTTCAACGGCCTCTGCCGAGCTCAGGTAATCAGGTAATCCACGTAACTTCGTCCCAGCCTGACTGGTTTGTAAAAATGACCATAAAATACAGTATCTCTGACTGTGACACAATACCTACGGTCAATGTGTCGACTGAGAAAAGCAGGTCTTGTTAAGAAAGAAAAGAGCCCAAACACACCTGCCTGGTTTGCACCCGGTTTCCTCCTGCCTTCGCCCACCTGGGCCCTCTGTCTTCCCAGAGGAAGCCCCCAGCCCTCTGACGCTGGGGCTACCACTGAGCTCCCCTTCACTTAAAAAAAAATTTTATTTATTTTTAGAGATAGGGAAATATCCATGTGCGGTTGCCTCTTGGCGCCCCCTACTGGGGACCTGGCCCGCAACCCAGGCAGGTGCCCTGACTGGGAATCGAACCCACGACCCTTCGGTTCGCAGGCCGGCGCTCAGTCCACTGAGCCACACTAGCCAGGGCTCCCCTTCACTTTTTTACATTTTAATTAAAAATATCAAATATCTGCGTTTTCCCCAAAATGCCTCTTTCTAGTTTCCTACGGAACAACCTCGTTGATGTCTTCTCGTTCAGGTACAGCAGCAGGTGCTGCTGGCGACAGGAGGAAGCTTTGCCGAACGGCAGTCCGTCGCGCGGGGGATCCCCAAGACTCGCCACGTAAATGTAACAGCGAAGCTGTAGGACCTGCTCTGCCGGGGGCTGCACTCACTTCAGAATCACGGGAAGGAGGGGGTAAGACTTGCTTGGCCACTCACATACAGGTAAACATCGGGCAGCAAAGATATTTTTGAATCTAAACCTAACTGCTTCCGGGCTTTCGTTTTTGTTTTTTTAAGGTGTCGACACACGTTGACTGGCTTAAAAGCAGAGGCTTCATTTTATGTCCCTGGGCCTGACGGGCTGAGTTTCAAAGCAGCTTCTGAGGCCCAAAGCAGCCGTCAGCAGCTCCGAGCCGTGTGCTGACTGCGCTGTGGGTGGCGATTTGAAATGCCCCCATTTCTATATTTAATTCCAAGTGATGGAGTGTGGGTGCCAGCCTCCTATATTAAGACAACGGTAGTAGGCTCTCGTTTTCACAAGCCCCCCCTTGAGTAATCGCAAGGGGGCACGCGAAGAGCCAGCGGAGCGACAGCCTCTGATCACTGCCTGCCTCCTGCCCCCCAGGTTCAAACGTGCCTGGGGCATCTCTGGGAACTGGGGCCAAGGGCAGGGGAACGTTAAGGTAATTAATAAGGATTATTTCTGGTAATTAAGGCACAGTGCGGCAAAGACGACATGTTTCCACCACCCAGCGTCGAAGGTGGGAGCTCTGGCGGAGGCCCGCGCGCAGTGGAGAGCGGCTCCCATGGGCCGGGAGCACTGCAGACCCGGCTGGGCTTTCTCCCGCCCGCTCTGCGGGAGGCAGCCTGAGGAGCCGCCAGGACGCCTGCCCCCGGCTGTCTGAGAGTCAGCGCTTTCCCTGTGTCGAACAAGGCAGCGGGGAAAGCGGGGCAGGAGAACTCTTGTCCCTAACTGCCACGAGGCAGCGGCGACATGCCGGAACCCCTCCCCAGGCCCGCTTCGGGAGGCGGGGGCTCACCCGGCATCCACACAAGGTCAAGGTCAAGGTCATATCTTTGAAGGCCAAGAACCTCCCCAGTGGGTGTCAGTTTCCTCAAAGGAGACTCGGCCGAAATCTAGGGCGAAGGGCGATGTTTAAGAATCACAGGTTCATCGTGTTGGATAGGAAAGACACTCTCGGGGGCATGGTCACCTGCCATGCGTGTCCCTAACGATCACAGCTAAAGCGGAAGCAAACGGAGTTACTGCAGCACCAAACCAGAAGCCCCAGCACGTTTGTACAGAGGAGGGTGCACATGCTGAGTGGCCAACTGGGCTCTCAAGCAAAATGCTTTGAACCTGCAGGAGGGGGGACCGCTGGCCGGCAGGGCCCGAGCCACACGCCCAGCGGAGGAGGCTGCCGAGAGGGCCAGCGCGGGCAGGAGGGCAGCCGTCCCTGGGAGCGATGTCAGCGGGGTCCTTAGACCGGGGAGCAGAAATCCCGCAGCCGCTGAGGGCGGGCAGGGGGGGCAGGGCTCAGGGCAGTGACTGGACCCCCTGTATCCAAGGGGCCCCTCTGGAAGGACATGAAGCCGTCCTATGGAGCATTCGCTGCAGAGAACGACATTTTCGACAGCAGGGATTCTCAGACAGCGAGAACGGGGCAGCACGCAGCTGGGGGCCTGCAATGCTCCGCGTCAGACCAGCGCCGGCTGCTGCCCGGCCCCACGAGGCCCCATGTCCCTCACGAGTAGGAAAAGTGCCTACGTGTCCCCTTTCTTCCTTCTCCCAACCAAGGGCTGGCCACACTGTCTACACGCCAGAGCGCCGCTGAATGAGGTCGCCAAACTGACAGGGAGAGTCTATGCCCCATTCTGTAGTTTTTGGTGAAGTTAATTCCTCCCGCAAGTGCAAATGCTGCTCCACCCCGCACCCCCCCTCAACCCATGAAACCAAACCACGAGCCGCTGTCGGGAGGCCTTGCCCTGCACCGCGCCTCCCAGGTGTCCTTGTGCCACCTGCCCCCCTCCAGGGCCTGCTCCTTCTTCCTGCTGCCCCTGCCCACAGGCCCTGGCAGAGCTGGCCGGTCCCCTGGCCTGGGCCCCCCGGGCAACCGGCCGTGCCCGTCGTGCTCCGCTCAGGGCGCGTCGCCCCCGGGCCCCGGCACACACTGCTGCGGGCGGTGGCTTACCCGCCGCGTCCCCTCAGGGCCCTAGGCCCTCCTTCCCGCACAGGGACCGCCGTCACTCTTCCCAGCCATTCATTCTGCACAGAGCACAGCTACAAACCCAGACAGAAGGGGACCTGGGGGACCGCAGCCCGCGGAGGGGGAACGGCAGGTGCAAAGCCCGCTGGTCTAAGGGCCCCCGGGGTCCCGGGAACAGAGCGAGAGGGCGGTGGAGGTGACACGGTGCAGGCGGGAGGCACCAGGGAAGCTGTAGTCATGGAGAGCCCAGTGTGGGAAGAAACGGCACAGACGGGAGCTGGGAGCCAGGAGCCGCTGCAGGGCCGCGGGCCGGCCCGCCCTGGCCTGACCCCTGCTCCGGCAGGACCGCGGGACTGCGCACTGTCACCTGCAGGGAGGCCGGGGGGCCGGGTGAGAGGCCATCGCTGTAACGGGCAGACCCGGGGCGACGGGGCAGGTGAGAACCAGGACTCCGGGGTGTGTTGAAGGGAGAGGCCACAGACTTGGCTGATGAGGTGGAGGGTCTGCAGGGGGATCGCTGGGCGGCGCGGGCTCGGGGACCGGAGGCGCTCGCGCCAGGAGCCGCGCTGGGGAGGCGGTCGGCCACGCCCAGGGCGGCCCTGAGGGAGCAGCCGGAGCCACCGACGATGGATCGAGCCCCTGGCCTGAGGCAGGGGGAGCCCCAGTGAGCCATGAGGCGTCAAGACGGGGCCCAGGCACCCAATGCAGGATGGAAGGGCAGCAAAAGCTGGGAGGAGCGACCCCCAGGACTCAGGAAGGAGGTGGGAAGGAGGGGCCGTCACCCACTGGCTTCAGCCACTTCAGAGGCGACGGGGAAAGGAGGGAGCATTTGGAACAGGACGTGGGAGAGGGGACACCCGACGGGCAGGCAGTTGTCCGAGGTGCTGGGCCACAAGGGAGCGGAGGTGCCGGGGCCAGGGCAGGACAGGCCGCGGCTGCCCCTCGGGCGGTGTCTGCCGAGACATCCAGGACGATGGAGCCCCGCGGCCCGCCTGGCCGTCACTGTCCCGTCGTCCTCCACCTCCCCCAGCCCGCAGAGCCGGGGTTCCTGACCGACGGAGCGATACTAGGCTCCCGACAGCTCAGGACAGAAAACCGCTCGCCCTGGGCTCCCACTTTCGGAAGAGACGGCTGTCGGTGCTCGGGCTCAGCGGGCCGTGTGCGGTGGCCCACTGCCCCGATGTGACCCCCGGGCAGGGTGCGGACAGGGTCCAAGCTGGCTGGGCCAGACCCTCCCTGCTCAAGGTTTCGGTGGGGGGGGTGACAGGACACCAGGGGGTCTCAGGGGTGGCTGTCGGCGGTGTCCAGTGCTCTCCACAGGCCGAGGGAGCGGGGTGCGAGGGCGTGGTCCCCGCATTTGCTGAGACAGATGCACGCTCTAGCTGTGCGTTTCGGAGGGCCCAGGACCACTCAGAGCCTCGGGCACGGCAGGGGACGCCACAGCGCCCGCGTCCCTGGGGAAATGCCAGACCAGCCGAGACACATCTCACACACGCTTGTTCGGAGAAACGCCCTGCGCCCTGATGGAGCACAGCTCATTAGCCCCTCTGTTCTGCCGCAGGAGCTCCAGGGCCCGACAGACACACGCTGCCCGGCTGGAGCCGCCCTCCCTCAGGAGCTGCGGCCGCGAGGCTCTGCCAGCCCACCCGGGTGAGAGCGCTGGTGTGGCTGTGGTTTGCCGGGGGGTCTCGGCCGCTTCCCGGCCTGGAACCCTAACGCAGTGACGGGTCGTCCTGCGCCACATGGGGGGCAGCCCCCAGGGAAGGCAGAAGAGGGCGGCGGGAGCCTGGGTCCCCAACACCGCAGAGCTGCCCCATCAGCCCTGGACCTCTGCCACTCCTGTTGAAGCTGCTGCTGACCAGGGCCTCCAGCCCAGCAGCTGAGCCTCTGTCCTGGAGAACACACTGCCTTTCGCAGGAAGCCACGTGAGGACCTGAAAAAGGGCAGGCGGCCCAGGGGAGGCCAAGGCCGTCGCGGGAGAACGGTGCAGAGAGGGCAGGTGCAGGCAGAGCAACCGGGAGGGAGGGCGGAGGCGGGTCTCTCCGGGGAAGCGCTGGCACCCACAACTCCCCGGCAGACGCGGCCGCAGGAGAGGCATCTGCAGAGCCGCTGGGGGAGGCAGTCGTGGCCCCCGAGGGCGGGAACGCGGCAGCAGCAGCGTGGCCCAGCCCGCGGTCCTGGCGCGCCGCCTGGCCCAGCACGGGCAGGGCTCACGAGCAGGTGCCCAGAAACGCCGAACCCGGGCGCCACGAAGCAGCAGCAGCAGCAGCAGCTACGGCTGCGAAGTGGGAGCAGAGGGAGGACGCAGGGCAGCTGTGTTCTGTCTAAAACCATCTGCACCGTCTCCACAGACTACTTTGGTTTAAACAATTTCAAAAAAATGAAGTGGCAAAGAAAAATCTGAGGCTGCTGGGAGTTCAGAAGTGAGCAATTCCTGCTGAGGACGCTGGGCGTCCACCCCAGGCTGAGGCCCGAAGCCTCCCTCTCCCAGGACCTGGCCGCCGCCGCCTGGGCTTGGGGAGCGTGGCCCCTTCCATGGTTGGGCTGGCGGTGAGCAGGGCCAGACCCAGCCCAGGTGGCGCAAGCCGATGGCGGGGGGGGAGGGGGGGGGCACGAGGAGAGCGCCGGGGAGAGGAATCAGAGCAAAGGGCCAGCAGAACGAGAATCTCAGGAACCCACAGGACAAGAACAGGACCTTTAAGAAAATGAGTCAAACTAACACACACAGAAACAAACCCCACCTTTTTACCAAGTTACCAAAAAGGAACGTTTCCTAAGATAGTTAAAACGCAAGCCATAAACACCGCCTTTGAAAACAGAACATACCCGCAAACGACGAGAACGCGTTTCCCTATTGCAGGTGGGTTTTTAAAGTGCTATTCATGGTTACGCGGGCCCCCCACTGACTCCTTTCACTGTCTGCGTCATTTTTGTCACCGGGTCTCCTTCTCCAGGGACGTCACCATGCCCCCTGCGAAGACAGGCCGCTCCCTTCTTTTCTGCCAGTTCCTGTGCCTCCCAATGTTTCTTCTTGTTTAACTGCCGTGGCTAAAACCTCCCCAAAAACGTCATTGGGGCGGGGAGAGCGGGCACCCCGCCTCATTTCTGAGCGAAGGGGCAGACCCCCCAAGCCCCCCACGACGCCCCCCACAACTCCCTGTTCAAGGAGCCCGTCATCCCAGCTCCCGCTGCGTGTTCTCATCAAGGACGGGCGCCCAGGGATTCATAAGGTCTCAATGGCCGCACGCGCCTAAGCGCCCCCGCACACGGGCCTGGGCTGCCCTTCAGGTGTGCAGCCAACCACGGGGAGGAGGGCACGTGGCAAAAGCCGCCCTATGGGCTGGACCCCAGTGCTTTTGGGAGCAGGAAGGAGGACTCTGCCCAGTTCCCGCAGGACCCAGGGAAGCAGAAGCCAAGAGCCAGGCCGAGGTCTGTGTGTGCGTGTGGCGGAGGCGGGGGAGGGGGCGGCGGCGCCAGGGCAGAGGAGGCGCTAGACCTCAGGATCCAGACTATCCACTGTGTGAAAACCACAGAAAACGGGGCACGGAAGCAGTGCACTGAAGCCACACATCCAGCACAAAATTACTGAATAAAAGCCAAATTAGCATACACCTCAGCTCGCTGTGTTCTCCTGCGACTGGCATCTACAGGTTAGTTTAGAGAAGACCTTCATCCAAACGATCTCCCATCCCATTCCTGGCGATAGTACTCCTTCCACAGGAAGCCACGCGGTCAGTTCCAGCACGGTGGCTGCTTCGCCCTTCACTCCTGCTGAATTCCGGCCACCGGGAGAGGTCCCGGGGCTTGTTAAAATTGTTAGGCTTTTCTTTTAAATTGGGGGCACAAAAATCCCTACTAAAATTGGCATTGTACACACTTCTTAAACACACATTAAAATACGGGCCTGTGCCGAACAAAGCAGCTCCGGCTCCCTGAGGGAAGGGCAGGGCCGAGCGGCCCGGCCGCAAGGGCCCCCAAGGGCCCCCACGGCTCTCCCTGCCTGCACCACAGCCTCAGCTCGTGAGGACAGAAGACAGCGCTCAGAGTGAGGACTTCTCCCCAGGGTGGCGTGTGACCCTCTGTTAAAATAGTTGTCCACCTGACTTTCGTGCCCATTTTTAAAAACAGGAGTCAACAGTATTTCATATTCATTCTGCAGCCTCCGAAAGGGTCAACGGTATCCCGCGTTACACACAGGAGCCCGACCCCGGCGAGTGGGAAGAGGGCAGGGGGAGCCGCTCCTTACCTCCGTGCACAAAGCCGTGCAGCGTGCAGTCCGAAGGCCCCACCAAGTGGATCAAGCTGGACTGGCTGTAGCTGACCGTGTTTGGCTCTGCAATTACAAAGGAGACAGGTAAGGCCTGGGGGCAGACCGAGCCCCATGGCAAAACGGTGTGATGAGGCCAACACACCTGGCGTTGCCACGGTCGCCAAGGGCTGACCGTCGGCTTAGATCTGGGATCTCGAAGGAAAACTGCGGTTGCAAAACGGGCTGCAGGCAGCGAAGCAGAAGGCTTTTGAGGATGACCACTCAGTTAGTCATGATGTTACCCCCGGGGGACACCAGTCCCCAGCAGACCCTGCCCCAAACCATGGGCAGCCACTAAACACCTGGGGGCCCTGAGCTCCCAGGGTTTCCAGTGACTCCCTGTTAGGAGAATTCCGTGCGACTTTTACTCCCAGCTTTGTTAACAGGCACCAACAGAGCTTCAGGAATTTTTTGTGCAACCTCCCAGAACTTTCGACTTGTGCTTCCCCACACGCAGTGGCAGGCAGAAAGGCGGAACCGGAGCCGTCGCAGATCCAGCCTCCCTGGACCCACCCCCTCCTGCCCACCCTCAGTCCCTGGCCCCCCAGGGAGGCACAGTACCCAATGGCGCTGCACGGCCTGTCCCCCGGGGCCCAGGCCTCTGCCCTCTTCCCATTCCGAGCAGCGAATCCCTCCCTCGCTTGGTGCTGCAGCTGACCCACCAAGAGGCAGAGCCAAAGCCCAGCCTCCCGCAGGCGGCCTCCCGCCTCAAGCCCAACTCCTGCAGCAGGCGCGGGCAGCCTGTCCAGCAGGGCCTCCAAGCAGACTCCGCACTGACCCCGCTGCGACCCTGCGCCGCACACGCCCCTGCCTTCCCACAGCCTCTGGGGAGTGACAGCACTCACTTGTTTCCTGCCCGGACAGCATCCTCAGAGAGGGCGGCCTGTCCCCACGCCGGCAGTGCCGCGCTGCTGACCCAGCCAGCCCCCTGGGCCACCACTGGGCCATGTCTCGGGTGGAGCAAGGTCCTCCCTACGTTTGGCCAGAGACAGAGAGTCTGCGAGAAGGGAGGCCGCTGAGCACCCCGGGGCTGGTGGCAGAAGGGTGCTCCCTGGGGTCCCCTAAGCATCCACGGCCACCTCAGAGCCGCTGCAGCTCCTCCCCGGGGGATGTGCGCCGTGCGGACGCCGGCGCGGGCAGGAAGCAGGACGGCTGGAGCACAGGTGGGCGAGGCTGTAGGTATTTAATTCCCAAGGCGGGCACTTTCGGGTTGTTCTCCAGCCTCACAGAGCTGACTGACTTGGACTCAAGTCACGAGCTGGCGTGTGAAGTGCCACTTGCTCTGCGGGTCTGTGTGGAGAGGGGAAGCCAGACCACACCCGAGAGCCCTGAGCTGCTCTAGCGCCATTGGGGCCACGGGGGGCTCAGGCTCTGGAGGGGGGGCCTCACTTCCATCCGCACTCAGTTCCCCTCTCGGGGCGGGGGATCTGGCCGCCAGCCTGCTCCCCGCCTTTGCCGGCCCACCGTGCAGACCGCCGGAGGCGGGCCCTGGTGCCACATGCGGTCCCTCGGGCTGCCCCCGGGACTCGGGCGCCTGCAGTGTCATCGAGTCGGGTCGGCAGGCAGGAGCAGAGGGAGAACCCCCTCCCGAGCGGCCACGTCCTGGGGCGTCCTCTCCAGCCTGCCCGTCGGCATGTGGGCCAGGGGAATGGTCCGCGTGCGCCAACAACTCTGTGCCAAGGGGTCGGAGGGGGGCACCAAAGGCTCCCACGAAAGGTGATCCAGGTGTCCCCTGCTGTCCACTGGGACTGCGGTCAGCACAGATGACCTGCAGCCTTGACCTGGCGTGTCCAGGGCAGCCTGCACTGCCTGAAACCACTCTGGGCGCCACGCGCCCTGACTCGCTGCACGGGACAAGGGGCCCCCCATTTCCTGATGTTACCAGGAGCAGAAAAGACGCCGACACCCTTGTGCTACGGGAGAGCGGCTGACAGTCCCGGCTGGTCAGGGCGCACGCAGGGCCATGCCTACGGCCAGCCCCAGGGGCATCAGGCGCCCAGACCCTGCCTGGGAGAGCGGGTGGAGGGACGCAGCTCGAGGAGCCGTGACAGACACCCCAACCGTCAGAGAGCCCCCCGCCAGTGCTGCCGGCCCTGAACGCCCCGATCTCAGGCTGTCCCCCCAGCCTGTCCCCTGGCCCGCGTAGCGACGGGGGCCCGAGGACCAGGGCTCCACCACGTGGCTTTGTGACCCACTGTTAAGAGACAGGAAAGCAACTGTTTTATAGCCTGAGTGGGAACTAAGAGCCTGAAATTTGGCCCGAACTCAGGAACGGCTCCGACAGCTAGGAGATGGGCTTGTGGACAAGGACAGGAGACTTTTAAATTTCAAACAGTGGGAAGCTGCACATGAAGGTCTTTGTTACGTCAAATGGCAACTTATTCAAATGACAAGCAAATTGAAGTAACTGCAATGACCTAGTCAAAAAGACACCGTCACTGTCCTGTAGTAACGTCTTACGGTGTCAAAGAAGCCACGGCTAATAATTTAATATTCCTGGGACGTGAACTGACGAGCTTCTCAGAAGCGAAACACCAACCTTCTGATGGGAAACCACCACAGCCACGCGCCTGCCTCGGCTGTTACCTCGCACGCCACAGGCGGGGGGGCTCCCCGTGGAGGCCCAGATGCGGGAGCCTTCCAGCTCCTTCTCCTCCCGAAGTCACCCTCAAAGCTACCTACCACAGGTGGGGGGCCACGCACCGAGAGGACCCCAATCCCCACCACTGGAAGAGACCCCGGCCCCCTAGACACGCCCACTTTGGACTTCACCGTAAATGCCTACGGAGCCTGCGATGAGGATTCTCGGCAGCTGCCGTGAGCCGTGACCTTGACAAGCGCCCGTGCTTGACCTTGAACCCGCCCCTTCAAGATGATGTCGAGGACCCGAGTCAGGTCCTTGGGCAGCAACACAGGAAGTTCAGCAGGGCCGTAACAAGCAAAAAGCTCCCCTTTGTATGTGTCCAGCTGCGGACACTGAGGCACAGAGAGGCTGAATCCTCACTCAAAAGGTGGAGCGGGGATTCTGACTCCAGAACCTCCTTTCCTCCCTGTCCCCAGCTCCCCCCACCGCTCGCTCCCTCCCCAGGACGAGAGCAGCAGGAGGCTCTCATGGGGCCTGGGCGAGCCCTGAGCCCACCGGCCGGCGGCCAGTGGCCGGTGGGGTGGCAGGCCCCGGCTGATCGCAGGGAGGCAGAGCCCAGTCCCGGCTCAGGGACCAGGGCCGGGCTAACTTGTCACGACCCTGACTACACAGGCCGGGGACCAGGCGGGGAGGTGAACGCTGTTGCAAACCCAAGGGCTGGGGTAAGGCATGGCTGATTTTGTTACAAATGCAATGGCCCCCAAAATGGATGGTCAGCCATGTGGCCAAATAATAGCCACGCATAACCCCGACGCAGTTAAGGCTAGGCAACCGATGGCTGTGGACTGGGGAGTTCCCGGGAACCGTATTTCCACTCGTCAGATGAAGAAAACAGGGAAGGACACTGCGTTTTAAGGAACTCCCCGGCTCGCAGAAGAGACACCGGAAGGATGAGGTCAACCCCACCGGGGTTGCTAGGCAACAGCCACGTCTGGCGGAAATCTGGGTCTGGTTTTAGAAGGAACCAGGGGCTGCAGAAGCAGGGGGACTTTTGGGTGGAGGGGGCAGGAAAGGCCCTGGGGGGTCACCTTGCGGAGCCTGGCAGGGAACAGGGACACCCTGGCAGAAGCCGCTGTCACAAGAGGCAGAGGCATGGGGCTCCCTCTCCAGGATCCTTTCCGCGCACACAAAACGTGCCGCCGTGTGGCGGAGGGGCGGCGCTCGCACTGGTCCTTCCTTGTGCCCCCCGAGACCCTGCCCTGAGGGTGTCTGGCCACCAGGGCTTCTCCGTTCAGGACTGGGGGGCGGGGGCGGGGTGAGGGAAAGGCCTTTCTGGGGGAGAAACATCCTTCGACCTGCTGCTTGGATTGTGGGCAGACATTTGGCTGAAGCCGGACCTCCCTGGACTCGAAGGATGGTGCCCAGAAAGGAAGGCTGTGCGCCCGCGGGGCTTCTTTGCCAAGGAGAAAAGAGCCACCATCACAGTGTCTGTTTTATGTGAGGCAGAGCTCCCGCCACAGGCACGCTCCTGAGCTGTGGGGCGGGGTGGGGGAGCGAACCGAGGCCGGCCTCCGGGACCAGGTGTCCCTCTGGCCAGCAGTGGAGGCCCAGCACGCGGCACGCAGGCCCCCTGGCCAGCGCTCGGCTTGAAGCATGTTCCTACTGGGACCCCCGAGCCCCCTGTGCCCCCAGCTGGCTGTGATACTGGGACGCGGTCTGTGTGGCACAGTAGCCCCGGGGGACACTCACGAACCGGCCACCGACCCCCGCAGGCACCCTGGCTCCTACCTGGGTTCGGGACAGGCTGGACGATGTCCCCGTTCCGCCACTTGGTCTCCATGCGCTCCAGCTTCTGGGCCTCATACCGCCTGCGGCCCTCCTCCTCCTGCTCCTGCCGGGCGTACTGTGGGGGCAGACAGGGGGTCGGCCGGCCTGCCAGGCTCCAGGGCCCTCTCTGTCCCTGGGCCTGCCCTTCTTCCGAGAACACAGAGTGCACGTGAGTAACAGAAACACAGAGAGGGCGAAGCTCTCAGGTAGCCCCCGACCCCTGCCCAAGGCAATGTCCCTCCTGGAATTGTGTGTGTACCCACGTGTATATAAAAGTCCCATCGAGCTGTTTGTGAAGGTGAAAGGTAACAGTGTTCCCCACTCTTGCCATACCAACATCACACATTTTAGGTGACAGATCCGTTCTAAGGGGCATGGAGCTTGCTCCCCGTTCTTTCCCAGGTCACACGACACCATTCTGGCAATTTCAGGGACTCATCATTCCACAGCTGCCCATCTCTTCCTAGGACTCGTTCCTGGACCCAGAACTCAGAGTCCAGGCCGCACGCACAGAGGTCTCCCGAGACAGCAGGTTCCCAGAGGCCCCCCAACCCGCAGCCAGCGGAACGGGCTGCACGTTCTCAAGGAATGTGCAGCCAAAGCTAAGACAGCCCCCCCGAAAGCTCCCCATGCAAAGGTATGTCTGTCAACAGCAAAACAAACTGAGATGGTGATGGAAAAGTGAGACAAACAAACCAACAAAAAGACCGAGAGAAACCAGGGAAAGAGGCTGGACCAGAGCTGTCTGGACACCCACTCGCTCCGGGGCCCGGAGGGGCCGGCGGGGCAGCGGCTGCCCGGGCCGCCCGGCTCTCAGCAGGGAACAGTCACGAACAGAAACCTCCTTTAAATCAAAGTCGGAGGGCTCTCGGGCCTACTGCTCACCCCCGTTACCCCCGGAAGGAAGCAGTGCCCTCCACGCCCGGCCGGGAGGGCTTTTCTAGGGAGGAGGAGGACCTTCCCCCCGGCAGCCACTCAGCCAGTGAATGAGCGGCCATGACGCTTTGGACCCCCGTTTCCTCCCACGGACTCTGTTTGCAACAGCTTCTCTGCACCGCCCCCCTCCCTCTGTAAAAGAGCCTGCCTCTCGTCTGTTCTTGGGACTTGTGGGTGGTTTGCCCTCCGACCTGCAGATTTCAATTCTTTGTTGTTCCTAATAAACCCATTTGCTGGAGAAACGTCTGGCTGTCTGTTCACGACCAACAGACAGGGCTCGCTGCCTGCCTCTTCCCGGGTCAGAGCGACAAAGGGCCCTCCGGGCACGGTGGCCGTGGCGTCTGGGGCAGCACCCCCTCACGTCCTCGCTGGAGTTACCCCTGCGCTGAGACCCCACACAGGGACACCCCTCCCCCGGCCCCCCGCTGCTACTCTCCTGGGACGCCGCCCCCATCACAGGAGTGGCTCCGCGCCGACCACCTGCCCCCAGCGAGCAGTGGAAGGGGGCCCCCTTACCACAACCGGAGGCACCTCCAGGACCTTGTCCACGTTCTTCAGTGACAAGGGCACGTACCACAGGGTGGCCTTATTGGTCAGCTTTTTGGTTCCTTCGGAGAAGAAAAGCACAGGGGTGAAGGCCCAGGGAAAGAGGGCGGGGCACCGGGCACCCGGCGGGGTACCCCGCTGCCTCTGACCCCCCCCAGGGGACCTCCCACAGCGCTGCCGCTCTCCAGAGGCTGCTGGAGAGACTTCCCGTCACCTGGCTGGAGCCCGGGGGGCAGGTGCCCCAGAGCTGCAGGTGTCCCAGCACCGGCCGACGAGGAGGCCCCGCACCTGGAGGCCCCGGAGCCGGGCATGGCCGCCCTCACGGGTGTCAGGACAGAAGGGAAGTTTGGTCGCTAACACACACCAGAAGAACACACTGAGTTCTGTGGGGAGGGGGCAGACCAGCCTGGGGAACACCCGTGTTCGGCCGCCTCCCAGGAAGGCGGGGACAAGCCAGAGGAGAGGGGACAAGGCCAGGGCCATGCCAGGCTGAGCCCAGGTCTCCACCCACAGACGCAGCAGACACTGACGCCGACCTCGAGGACACCCCGCGGAGAAACGCGAGGTCACCGCACTGCCAGATCCGCCCACCCGTCTAATGCTGCGGGGGAGAGTTCCTGCCAGACAGGGCTGGCAAAGCAGCGGCACAGGGCGGTGCGGCTGGGGGCGGGGGCGTCGGTGAGGCTGGGGGGTTGTGGGGGCAGAGCTCGGGCAACCAGCCCTGAGCAGCCCGGGAAGGGCGTGCTGCGGGGTCGCCGTCCGAGCACAGCTGGGCCGTCAGCCATCAAGGGTCATCTTTGCGACCCCAGCACTCTCCCCCTAAAGGTGGGAGGTGCCACCGGGAGACTGGATTCACTGCCTGGCTGACTCAGTCTCCAATCCAGAAGCTTCCAGACAGAGTGTGGAGAGACAGACTGTGGGCTGCTGACTCCCACTCTGGGCAGAACGGCAAGACACAGAGCCCTCCTTGGGGCACCGATCTGACTTCGGGGCAGAGGGGGCCTGCCCCGTCTGCGGAGAAACATGGGCCCAAAGAAATCAGTTGACCTGTACCCCTCACTTGTGCAGGAGGAGCCTGATGCCCAGAGAGGTCAACGGGGTTATCCAGGGTCACACAGCAACTCGGTGCCACTCTGAGGACAGACCCTGGCCTCCTGGGTCCCAGTCATTTCAGGGAAGTATCCGCGAGATGTCTTTTAAAAAGTCCCTCTTCGACATGGAAGGGCCCTAAAGTAGAGGAGCACAGTGCATCCGGGGGAACGGAGAGGAAGCAGGGAAGGTGGGGAGCAGCCCAGAGGCCCCAGAAGGCCCTCGGGGGCCCACTTCCCGGCAGCTCCTTCCGACCTGCCGTCCCGGGGGGGCTCGGCTGCAGCGCCCTCCCCTAAATGTAGCCCCAGCGGCCAGGCCACGCCTGAGGCCAAAAGAGGGGCAGCAAGGACAGGGGCAGCTCCGCTCGGACAGCCCTGCGGGGGCAACACGCTCCCGCCCTGCGGGGGCAACACGCTCCCAAGCTCGGGACCCAGAGGCAAATATGGGAAATACTTTCACTGCACTTTGACTGAAAGCGAATGTGACAACCTGCTTTTGGGAATAAAGGTTTCCGTCTGACTCAGCCAGAGCAGCCTGACAGGCTGGTTTCCATGGAAACCCCGAGCGGCCCTCCTCTAGACCTAAATGAGCGCCACGAAGCAAATGAGGCAAAACATACTAATTATACTTTCTCCATCATTTAATAAAACCTTCAAAAGGCAACGGCGGCATTAGAAACATCTATTTTAAAACCTGAGGCGCTCCCAGCTATTTTCCGGAGCAATCCACAGCAATCACATCCCAGTTTGCCTAATATTTTGACAGCTGCCGGAGATGAATGAACGGGCCGTCTGGGAGGCGCAGGTTTGCTGGTGCCTGCCTGGGCGTGCGCTCGCTCAACCACCTCCCGGCAGGCGCCATGGCCCGGTGGATGGGGACACGCAGGTCGGAGGCCCCGGCCTCGGGGGCCGAGGACACGGAGAAGGCGCGCAAACAGCGTCCGGCATCGGCCTCCTCGGGCCGAGCGCCCGCCCGCCCCGCCCACCCCGCCCGCCCCTCGGCCTGGGTTCACTGGGGGCTGCCGGGCCAGGCACTGTTCTAGGCGAGGGGGGACCGCAGTGGACAAGGCAGCCACAAGCCCCGCCCTCAGAGAGCTCCCATCCCGGGGACACGTGGGCAGAAGGAGATGCACTGGGATGGGGGCAGAGCTTGAGAAACCCAGGGTGCCAGAATAAGAGATGCAAACGGGTCGAAACACGCGGCGGCAGCAAGAGGATGACAGAGACAGAGACGCGCAGGGGGTGGCGAGACAGGGAGGCCCGGGGGGGGGCAAGACAGGGCGCGTCGGGGCGAGGCGACGGGGACGTGGGCACTGCCTGCCCTCCCGGCCTTCCCTCCTCTGGGCGGCCCCAGGCCCTGGGGGCCCAACTGCCGGGAAGGAGCAGGGTCCCCATGCTGCACGGGGGCCGGGGTGTGCAGGCAGGGGCAGAGCGCCGCCTCGCGGGGTCCGCCCTCACGGCAGCTCAGGCCCCGGACAAGTGCCTCCTGCCTCTGTCCGCTCCGGCCCACCGCCGGCGGGGCCCTTTAGAAAACGTGTACTTCACTCTCCACAACTCCTCCTGCCGCCTCCTGCCATTCTCAGCACAGGAGGCCCACCCCCCCGACCCCCTCCCGTCGCTCGTCCGCTCATCGGTCACCCGAGTCGGCGTCTGGTACAGGCCAGGCCGCCAGGGAGAGGAAGACCGGCCCTTTCTCTCAGAAGTGCACGACCCTGGCTGGGGCTTCCCCGCCTCGGCAGGGCGGCCGGACCTCGGGGCCGGCCCATTCGCCGGGGCGGGGCGTCCCGTGCTCTGCGGGGCCCGCAGCGCGCCCCTGGTCTCCGCCCGCTGGGGGCGAGGAGCCCTGCCCCAGCTGGGACCACGAGAACGCCCCCTGGAGAACCACCGTGCTGGGGGTCGGCCAGGGCCCAGGCGCCCCTAGGATGCAGCCTGAGCACGCCCCCCGGGACGCGCGCGGGGGTGAGCCCAGCCCAGGCACACAGGAGCCGGGCAGAGGGGCCCCGACGGGGCGCGTCCGTGAGCCAAGACGCTGCCCCCGGAAACGCGGCCGTGTCCTCGAAGGAGCAGGCGTGTGAGGCCATGGGGAGCCCTGGTCCTGGGAGCAGGGACCTCAGCACAGGGGCCTCCCCGATGGTCCCCCACCTGTCCCCTGCATCGGGCACCTTCTCTTCAAGGAGGCAGCTCCCAGCTGGTGAGGCAACGACAGACCCACTCGTTCCCTGAAGCTAAAGCCACCTGCCTCCTCTTCCCACTGAGGGGCGGCCCCCTCCGACCCCAGGTGCCCAGTGAGGCACATCCCCTTTTTCCCATTTCCCAAGGGCCTGATAGGACGTGGACAGAGGACGGGCGGCGAGGCCGCTCTGGCCCCCCACTCTCCTCCCACCTGTGCTCTGCTCCTCTCACGGAGGCTCCTCCTACGTGACAGAAAGCGGGGGCAGTGGTGGTGGGGGGGCGAAGTCTGTGAAGCAGGCCCTGCCCTTTTGTGCAGCCACTGACTCCCTGACGCAGGAGAAGCACGGTGGCGAAGCAACACCGCTGAGGTGGCTGCGCACGAGCGAGCCTGCAGGTCCGCGGGGAGGGCACGCAGCCCCTTCCCTCTCGGGGGGTGGGACGGGGACCCCAAGCCGCCACGTGTGGTGACAGTGACCAGGCACTCATTTCGGTGCAGCAGCCTAAGACCCGCATCAAAAGGTCCCCCTGATGCCAGAGCCACATGTCGCACGCAGGGCTTGGGCCACAGGCCCAGGCGCAGGCACGCTGGCCGCTCCCCCACCCAGGCCCTGGCTCGGCTATGGGGTCGCTGGCTATGGGGTCGGCTGCGTTCACTGCAGCCACGCCTGCTGAGGCCACCAGCGGCTCCGGGCGCACGGGGGAGGGGCCCGGGGCTCAGCACAGCGCCCCGCAGCCGACTCAGCCAGGAGGGGCGTGGGCAGGGGGCGCGGGGCCCAGGCAGCTCCTGCAGAGCCCTGGCAGAGGCCCTTGCGCCTGGGGTGGGCAGCCCGGGGTGGGCAGCCCAGGTTGGGGGGGGCAGCAAGGGGACTGGGGGGGGTCGGCCGGGGCCTGCCTTCCTCAGCGGCAGCCACGTTATAAAAAGCAGCCAGTGACAGTGCAAACTGCAACCAAAGCCACACTCCCCTGCGGCGCCCACGGGGAGGATAAGGGGTTTCCATGGTTACCAGGCCAAGGAAGAGAATATTCGGATCAAACCAGAGTCAAAGGTTTGCCCAGTGAGCTTCAGCCTAAACCTGGCCTTCAGGCAGGGGAGCAGGGAACGGGGAGCAGGGAACGGGGAGCAGCACCGGCGGAGGCAGCAGAGGGCCCGGAGGGCATCTGTGCCCCACCCGCCACTCCACCCCTCTGCCCCGAGGAGCTGCCGCAAGCCGGGCAGGCAGGGCTCGCGCTCTCAGGGCCAGAGCCGGCGGCCAGAGTCCTGGGCACCTGTCTTGGGCTCGCTGCTTCGGCCAGCTGTGCCTGTCCCAGTGTGCAGGGCCCCGCTCACAGGCGGAGGCGGGAGCCAAGGGAGGCCCATGGGCAGCGCCAGAGCCACCGCCAGGGCAGAGTTGCCCCCGGGCGGTGTGGGAGGTGGCCCCTGCCGTGTCGGCACGGCTGCCGTCCCTGTTGCTCCCGACCCAGCTGGGGAGGGCGCGTGCGGTACCTGTGAGGATGTTTTCGGACATCACGTTGACCTGGACTTCCACCGAGTGCTTGGAGGTGTAGGTGATCTCCGCGCTGACGTGCGCCACCTCGCCGATGCACATGGGCGACAGGAAGTCGGTGCGCTCGACCCGGGCCAGGGCGGCCACGCAGCGCTCCTGCAAAGACCGGCATGGTCAGCCGGGCCCCAAGCCCCCACCTTGCAGACGCCCCCCAAAACCATCTCGATTTTTTCCACACATTCCTGAACTGGGTACCACAGAAGGTACAGAAAAATAGACAGAGGAGGGAAAACCGCCCCACCTGGCCCACAGGCGAACGTGGTTTCTATTTTGAGGTCTTCCTTTCCAGGCTTTTCCCCGAGGGAGGGCGATTCACTGGGTCATTTGTCCCTTTGCCTTGGTCCCTGTTTTGCAGTCTTAGTCCTTAAACAGCCGTGTAAGAGCTACATTTGTACTGTCAGTCTGCTTTTTTCACTCGATAGGAAGGAAAGTAACCTGCCCGTGTGAGGACAAGCTCTGCGCAACTGCTGCTCTGTGGCTGAAACTCCCCTTCTCGTTAGGGCAGGCAGCCCGTCGCCTGACTCGGCGCTCAAAGCGGGCAGCCCCAGCGGGGGCGCGCCGGGGGCCGTGCGCTGGTCCGAGACCCCGAGGCCGCCGATGGACTCCCAGTCGGGGCACAGGCCTGCGGTGCCAGCCAGGCCCCCAGCAGGGGGCGCACGAGGGCAACCACACATGGACGTTTCTCTCCCTTCCCCTCTTTAAAAATAAACAAATACCATCTTTAAAAAAAACTCAGAAGGCTTCTGGTCACTCGTCCCTAGCTACCCAGGTCCAGCCACCCAAGACAGGCTGGGTAACCGAGGGACACAGCCAGGGGGACGGGACCCTGGGGTCGCGGCTGCAGGGCCTCTACGAGCCACGGGGAAGGGGCCCACCCACCCTGTGTTGGAACGTGAAGGACTTGCTCATGCTTTTTCATGAGTGGATGACACAATTGAAAAAAAAAACCAGAAACCCAAACCATTTTAATGGCCAAACAGAACAGAATATCCCGTTGTCAGAGATGTGGCTCAAGCCCAGCTGTCAATTACAAGGAATTCCGTGATGGCCACCCTTCCACTTACGTTGGGATCAGTTCCGGGGCCCGTTTCCGGGTGGGCAAGACAAAGACCTCGACCTGTTCCCAGAGCACGTCCCAGCGGGCCAGCAGCGCCCGCCGTGGCCGCAGGGCCGGCCAGAGCCGAGCCGCCTTTCTGTCCGTGCCGACTGAGGGGGAGCGAGACGGCCTGTGTTCGCGCAGAGGCCCAGGTCTGCACGGCCAGGCAGGGCGCTCGGCCCTCTCGGGGCTTTCGTGGAAAGCAAACGTCTCTTTCAGGACACTGGCCAGCAGCACAGGTCTGCCTGGGGGCGGGGGGGAGCAGGGAGCCGGAGGCGGCCCGTCAAGCCCTGCGCCTCTGCACGGGCTGGAGGTGTGAGACCAGTAGGTGACTGTCACTTCAAGCTCTGCGGGCAGCTGCCTGCTGCCACCAGGGCACCAACGAACGGCACACAGCTCTCCCACCTGCACGAGAACTCCCCCGGAACCTGGCAAACAGGCCAGGCCCCTGGTCCACCCCAAGCCCCACAGGAGCTCCCAGGAGATTCTCAAGCACACAGGGTCATGGGCTCTGCAGCGATCTCTGCTCCTACAGATGGCCCGGAGCCAGGTCTCAGGACATGGAGGTCAGGGTGACTGTGCCTTCCCCTGCCCCAGCACACAACGCAAACACAAGTCGCCTACCCACAGCCCCCTGGGTGTGGGATGGGGTGGGGGCCGCTATTTGAAGTGAATTTGCGTGGCTACAGTGCCACCTACTGGCAGAAAGTGGGAAAGGCAGCAGAGCGGGCAGGAAGAAGGGACCAGCCTCCAGGCTGCTTCTCCATTCTCCAAGCTCTGCGGACAGGACCAAGAGCAGCGTTAAACCCGGTGTCTTACTCCAGTGGTTACACTGGGGAATGGACACGCCCCCCCACAGGGAACAGAGGCAGCAATATCTTTAATGGAAACGGCTGGTCTCTCGCGTCTCTACACATCTGAGCCTTGGGTGGGCCTGAGCTTTTTCATGGCGACAAAGGCATCACCCTTCACTCGCGCCAGGCGCTGCGCTCGGCACCGGCAAGAAGGAGTAGGTTGGCGCGGCTGTCCTGGGCCTGGGTCCTGGCTGGAGGGCACGGATGACAAATACCAGGGCAATGCCATACAGTATTGTTGGGCGCTCTGAGGGGGTGGAGTGGGGGGGCTTCAGATGGGGGCTGGCGGTCTTTTTAGAGAGGGCGCGATGGAGCTGAGGGCACCCCGCGCAGAGGGGAGAGCGGCAGACGCCGGCGGGAGCTGGAGGCCGGGCTCGGGGCAGAGGGCCCGGCCGGGGGCCTGCCGGGGGCGTCAGGCAGGCTCAGGGCAGGGTGGCGCGCTCTTTAGCGCGCAGGTTTCAGAGCAGCGTGAATTCGCAACGAAGGGCACCAGGGTCCCTCCCATAAGCCAGAACACAGGCAACGGCTCGAGGTGGGGGACACGGATGGCTCTCGGCGCTGCCCCGGCGACACTCCTAACACAGCCCTGTTCAGAGCACTCAGGCGGCCCCAGGGCCACCTGGGACAGCCTGGCGCCTGCCCTCCCCGGCTGGGAAGGCCACTTGTGAATGTTAAGTCTGGTCCTCTTCCGGCTTCAGACACTGGCGGCGAGCCCTGCCGTTCCGTGGGCAGCCACTCAGGAGTCTGACCACACTCCCAGGTCATCACTGCACGACCCTGTCACAGGGTGCTCGCTCTTCTGCAGGTGAGGAGGCCTCAGAGGTGGCCGGGCTCCTGGCGACCCCACATCCGGCTGAAGTGCGGACGGCACAGGCTGGGACCCAGGGCAGCTCTGACTTGACTGTGAGCTGCTGCTCCCCAGGACCTGGCAGGGCGCAGGGCCTGCCCCCGGTGCATTCCATGAAGACCAGTATCATCCAAAAATTCACACTGTGGACGGGTAGACACAGGCACACCGGGAAGACACTCTGGGTTCGGTTCCAGGCCACCGCGATAAAGCGAGTACTAATCCTTTTGCCGGTCTTGCCTTCAATTTGCAAAAAGCACATTTGTGAAGTGCAATAAAGCAATTGCCTGTGTGCGCACCTGCTGTGAGGCTCTGCCAGCGTCTCTGGTCCCCTAGCCCCCGGTGTGCCCTGCGACTCTGCTTCCCGGGCCTAAAGCGGGAGGGGCGGCCCCCACCCTGGGAAGCGGCCACGAGCAGTCTGATTGGCTTCTACCCTAAGAAGCAACCTCTTCCCTGCTCCCAAAGGTGACCAGCGTTGCAAACCCCACGGTCATGGAGCGGAGGGGCTCGTAAACCTCGGGCCTCTGAGCCTGGACAGCCGTTTTAGAAGCAAAACCAGAAAGAGCAGCACTGGGCCCTGGGCTCAGATCCTGAGTCTTCTGCTTGGTAGCTCCTGACCTCGGGCAGAGACTTCCCTGCTCTACGCCTCGGTCCCTTTGCAAAATGCAGATAATAGGGGGCCCCAGCGTGGACAGGAGAGGGTGGGTCTCCCCTCTCACAGCTGTGTGGGGATCAGGGTGGCGAGTGGCTGAACGAGTCCAGGAGCGGCCAGCTCTCACTGCTGTGATTCCCACCCAGGCCGCCCTGGCCAAGGCCAGCCCAGAGGAGGCAGCTCCTTTGGAAAACCACCCCCGGGAAAGGGAGGACAGCACTCAGGGCAGTCGCTGGAAGCTCTGCATCGGGTGGTGGTTCGAGACCACACTCCCGGCAATGAGCAGATGGCTACGGAGCAGGGGGCGGGGTGGGGGTGGGGGCAGGCCTGGATCCAGATGCTGGGCACCCAGCGGGGAGCTGACGGGCAGGGGCCGCTGCCTTCGTGGGCTTGCCCTCTAGCGGGGGGCAGGGGGGCGGAGGGTGCAGCCCAAAGATAAACGAGCCAAAGGCTCCGCGTGTGGGGCGCCAGCAAGGCCGAGGGACGTTGTCTTTGTTCAGAGACTGGAAGGGGGTGAGGGGGAGGCATGAGGGTGCCTGGGCCTGGAAAAGCCGCCCAAGCAGAAGAAAGAGCCGGTGCAAAGGCCCCGGGGCGGGAGAGCCGGCGTGGCCCCAGGTGGGGACTGGGATGCATGTGGACCCTGGTTTGACTCTGCAGCATAGAAGCCGCTCTCAGAGTGACGGCCCTGACCTCACAGCCCAGGCTCTCTCTCGTGACTGCTGGGGAAGAGACAGGCGGGCAGGGACGGGCGAGGAGGCCTGGGAGGAGGCTGGCTGGTAGCTTGGGCCAGCTGTGCAACAGCTGGTGCACAGTGCTCTGATCTCGAAATATCCAGCAGGTAGAGCCGACGGGGTTGGCTGCCGGTGTCCACAGTGAGAGGAGGAGCAGGGTCCACAGAGGCTGACGTTTGAAGCCTGAGAAACTGGCAGCCGCACAGGCGGTTCACCAGGAGAGCGGGGGCTGCAGGCAAAGCCGCTGGGGGGAGGGCCCCGAGGGTCTTCTGGGCCCACCAAGGTCACGGGCCGATTAAGCATCCAGGTGAAGTCAGGCCTGGAGACAGAACCTCACACCTAAACTCAGTGTTAAAGCCCCAGGGCAGTATGGATGGGAAAGCCCAGCGAAGCCCCTGGGAGGCCAGCGTCCAGCCACCCAGAGCTCCCCTGCGCATGGCGCTTATGGATTACTGTCCCGGGACCCGTAGCCCAGAGGCATCACCAAGGCAACACGTCAAAAACTATCCCTCTTACACCCCCAGGCTCATTCCAGGGACGAAGTGAGCAGAAGCCAGGGCTCAAAGCACGGGTTCGAGACCTGGTTCCCTGCCCAGACCAACCACCTGCCTCCCTGTGTGGCTTCAAGAAAGTATCCAACCCCTCTGTGCCTCAGCTTTCTCATCTGTGCTGGGGACAGTAAAACTAACCTGTGCCTCTCAGGAGTGTCGCGGGGACCACACGACAGCCCTCCAGCACCTCCCACGGGCCTCCTCCACCCTCACTCCCAGGCCTGGCGCTTTTCCCTCCTAATGCCCAGCCCTTCTGGCCAGGCCAGCCACCCCCTGGCCCCACCCCCGCCCCCACCCCTCAGACTCAGGTCCATCCTGCCTGTGGCCACCAGGGGGCATGCTCTGCACGTGACCCAGCCCGCCCCAGACTTCGAAGGGCACAAGGTAAGTGCAAACCTCAACCCAGGCAGGGGAGCCAGCCCGGCCCCGCTCACCCCCACCCCTGCCTGAGCTGAGATGCCCCAGCCACAGCCACCCACACACTCTCCTCCTACAGGCACGTGCGTGTGCACACCTCACGCGCACACCCCAGCAGCGCCGGACCTCCCTCTTCCTGGCATAGCTGGTGGCTGCCCGAGGCCTCAGGTCCACAGAGCCCCAGGCTTCCTGCTGGCCCCACGCTGGCAGCAGAGGTGCAAGACAGGCCCCTCCCCCAGCACCCAAGGGTGAAAAGGTCAGGTCCCGCAGGACTGGGGCATGGCAGGTGATAGGCATGCCCTGAGCCGCCCTCAAGTCCTAAACCCAGAGCCCCGTCCTCGTCCCCAGCGGGGGGTGGCTTCACAGGCCCCTAAGGATCAGTCAGGGGGCGGGGGGCATCAGGCCCAGGGCGATCTGATGTCCACAACAAACTGCCACCCACACAGGTGTGGCTCTGTGAAGTCCAACTCCCGGAAGATTCTAGAAATCAAGGTTCTTCCAGAAAAGAGAGAGAGGTGCTTAAAGGCACTCTTGGTGGACTCTCAGCTTAGTCTCTGTTGGTTCCCCCGCCCCGCACACTGAGCCCCAAACCGAACAGCACTGCAAGGGGTCCTGCCCAGGTCTAACTAACTGTGCTGAAGCTTCCGGAAGCCCCCAAGGCCCAGGAGTCGGGGAGAGGGCGCCCCTCCCCTCAAACCCCCTTCCCGAACTGACAGTTCTGCGCCCTGCGCGCCCGAGGACCCCAGGCCTCCCGGGGCCCCCGGGCCTACCCCGTTCTGGCTGTTGCAGTGCCGCGTGCTGATGATGGCTCCCGCCTCCTCAATCATCTTCAGGATGGTCCCTCCATGCACGTTGCCGGCCAGGTTGGCGTCGTCTGGCCGCATGATCCTGGGTGGAAGAGAGACAAGAAGCAGGATGAAGCTTCTGGAAAGGATGTCGCTCGTGAACAGGAACAACCTGGGGGGAGGACAAGGTCCTCCAAAGGGACTGATGGCTCCCAGAGAAGGAAAAGAACTTTACACATGTTTGGTCAGGGCAGGGTGCTGCTCTGACCGGGGGCTGCAGGATCCTGTTCCCACGGGAGAGAGGAGCTCCTTCCCCGGGTCCCTGACTTGGAAGAGGAGGCAGCGGGGACCTCTGGCAAAGGCAGCGAGATGCTGGCACGGCTGCAGGGTCCCCAGCACGCCTGCCCCTCCATACTCCCAACAACCGGCAGAGGCGAGTGAGCACAAGGACAAGGGCTGTGTGCAGCCCTTTGCGAGGGGAGCCAACCCCGGGACTGGCACCCCGTCGGGAGCTCCAGAGGGGTGGCCGTGCCGAGCTCCTCATGGGCGCCCAAGGGGGCCAGTTCCCTGGGTCTGACTGCCGGGGCTCTCTGGGTCAAGGAGAACTGAACTGCCACCTCATTTCCCCAGAGGAAAAACCATGCCTTTGTGTGGGCGGCCAGCGGTGGGGAGGCTCCATGGAACCCCCGGAACCCCAACGGGCCACTGTGGGGACCTTCCATGCAGGGCACAGGCAGTGAGCACACGCTGAGCAGCCACCTTCAGGCAGCCCATCCTGCTCTGGCTCCAGGACAGCAGCCTCTGGCACCCGCGTGGTGTGGCCCTGCTCCATTTGGTAGCTGAGAGGCACGCAGCCCGGGAGGCCGGCCCAGGCTCTGGTTCACACGGTGAGTGACTGGGCAGGCTGCCCAAACTCATCCCTCCACTTCCCTGCCCACAAATAGGCCCAAAAGAGAGGCCTGTTTGCTCTTGGGAGGGTGGGGGGCAGAACCCCATGAGGGCACCCATGTTAGCGTGCACTGGGACACGAGGACCTAAGGCACTGCCTGTGTGGAACACGGGAGGTATGTGTCACCGGCTGGATGCCTGACCGCAAGGCTCCCGTCACTGGCAGCACCTGAGGCACAGCCGCCCGGCCTCCCGCTGGGAACCACTGAAGCCTCACGGCCCCTCCCCCTCCCTCAGGCTTTTCCCAGAAATAAGGCCCAGATCGGCCATCCCTGATCAGAGGACACTGTCTTGCAGACACCTGGGGCAGATCAACAGGGTGACCCACCGTCCTGGGGGTCTGCCACGCACCCTTAAAACCCTCCTACCCTTTCCCTTGTGGCTCCGGTCTGCCCGGACCCAGTCCACCTGATCACGGTGTCCCGCCTCGAGTGAGAGCCCTTCACTGAACCTCCTTGGCTCCCAGTCCTTCTTTAGCCACCTCGGCCACCTGACGCGCTCAAGGGCAGGCCTGGCACACAGCCAGTAAACAGATACCTGTTCTCCAGCCCTACCCTTCCCTCTTTCCTAAGGATATAGCCAGCCAACTGCACGAAGGGGTCAGGAGACGCGCCTTTCTCAGAAAACAAGCGGCAGCATCCAGGCGGCTCCCATGCCCACCCGCCACCCCCGCGCCCTGGGCGAGATCTGGCTGCGAAGGCCGCAGCCTGCGCAGGCGCCCGGCCCCCCGCCCTGCGCACCGGCTCGGGCAGCAGTGGCGGGGGCCCCAGGGCACCCAAGAGGGGCTTCGCTCAGTCCCTCTGACGTTCACTCACAAATACTGTTGAATCCATGGACTAATAAGGACTCGAGCGGGAGACCTAAAACCGTAAAGCTCCGAGAAAGAAACCGTGGGTGGTGAGCTCCTGGACAGCGGCCTTGGCGATGATTATTTTGGATCTAACACCAAGAAACAAAGACAACAGGAGCAAAAATGAACGGGTGGAAACCACCTGGAACGGAGAAGCTTCAGCAGAGCAGAGGAAAACATCAGCCATATGAGAGGGCGACCCACAGAGTGGGCGCGCTCATCTGCAAATCACGCCTCCGATAAACGGTTCATGTCCAAAACGTAGAAAGAACTAAAAAAAAAAACCCCAAAAAACCCCACCCAAACAGTCCAATTTAAAGATGGACAGAGAAACTACATAGACGTTTCTCCAAAAACCACATGCAAATGGCCACCCAGTACACGGCCGGGCTGCAGTCACTCATCAGCGAAACGCAAATCAAAACCACAAGGAGGTAGCCCCTCCCACCTGTCAGGAGGGCCTCCGCTGAAGAGACAAGAGGTAGCGAGTGTGGGGCGAAGGGAACCCTGGGGCACTGCCGTTGGGAAGGTAAACAAACCAGGGCAGCCGCTGTGGACCCCGGTGAAGGTCCCTCAAAGAACTGAGGGACCAATGCCCCTTCTGGTCATTTACCCTAAGGAAATGAAATCACTGTCTGAAAGAGACACCCCCTCTTCAGGGAGGCCGTCCTGCACCCCTACCCTACCTGGTCAGCAGGCCTGGTCATCCGTGTGCGCCAAGAAGGGACGAGTTAGCGTCGGTTACACGCACACCTGCGACGACACGCAGCCTTGAGCGCGAGGGAGGGCCAGCGGGAGGTCCGGCGGGAGGACGGCAGAGCCAAGCCCTGACTGGCTTGGCCCAGGTGGTCGGGCCTGTCCCGCAGAGCAATAGACCACACTGGTTCTATTCCGTCAGAATACAAACCAGCCGGGGCACGAAGGAGAGGCAACCAATTGACGTTTCTCTTTCATATCGATGTTTCTGTCCCTCTCTTTCTCCCTCCCTTCTCTCTCTCTAAAAATAAGTAAAATATTAAAAACGAAACGAAACGAAACAAAAAAAAGCACCAGACCATGGGGCAGGTGGCCACACCCAGGGCCAGTGCAGGCTGTCCCCGGAGGGAGACCTGAGAACTGGAAGCTTCTGCTGGCCCTTTGAAGGGAACTAGCGCAGGGCGGGGCAGGGAACCTCGCGGAGGCGTCTTAAAACCATGTCCACCTGTTCAAGCAAACCAACGACCTTTACAATTTCTCCAAAGCACAGCTCCAGCCCCCAACAAGGGCATCCCTGGCCTGACCTCGTCACGGCCACCGTCCCCAGGACTGGCCGGCACTCCGCCCCTGGGCCGCCTGCCCGTCCTCCCTGCGTGACACAGCCCCTCGCGGCTCTGGGGCGCAGGAGAGACGGGGCCGGCACGGGGGAGCCTGGGGGGGGCCGCCCATTCCGTGCAGTGGGCTCCGTGGGCCGGCCTCACGGCTGACCCCCGAGGGCCAGCCCTGTCCCCTGCCCCTGTTCCTCAGGGCCCTCCTCAGGCCAAGCCGGCAGAGGCCCCACACTGAGCCTTTGTACCGAGATGTCCCAGCCCTAACCTCTGGCCCCTGTGAACGTGACCTTCTTCGGAAATAGGGTCTTTGCAGGTGTGATCAATCTGCGGTGAGGTCGTGAGGGCGGACCCCCTTCCCAGGTGACAGGCGTCCTCAGAAGAGGGAAACGCGGACACAGGGAGAAGGCCCCCTGGCGACAGGCGGAGCTGGGAGTGACAGGTCCCTGGCACAGGGAGCTCAAGGGGGGCCAGCGGCCACCTGAGCTGGGAGAGGCGAGGCCGGGGCCTTTGGGGGCAGCGCAGCCCTGCCACACCGCAGGCTGGGAGCGCACATTTCTGCTGTTTAAGCCGCCCAGCGTGTGGTCATTTGTTGTGGTGCCCCCAAAATTCATCCGGGCGGTGCCCTGCGCAGCCCCTCCCTGCCCCAGGGGGCTTCCCTCCTCCCCCAGGAGGCGGCGGTGAGCAGCACCTGCAAGCCCCGCAGGGTCCGATGGGCATGGTGGCAGCCGGGCCAGCACCTCTGGCTCCTGACACAGGAACGTCAGCGTCAAAACGAAAACACTGCCGCACGAGGTCCGTGGTAACTGGGGTGGGGTGGGGGGCTTGTTTATGTGACAGTGGAATGTAAAGCACCCTTCGGAGGTGGAAGGCAGCAGCAGTGAGCACAGCCGGGTCTCCGTGACAGGCGAGCCTTCCTCGGGCTCCCACCTGCACCCAAAGCCGGGCAGGAGCGCTGCGCCCACTGCCGAGGTCCAGGCGGGCCCCGCGGGCAGCAGCCCCAACGGGGCCTCCCGGGTGGCGCGGGACGCCCGCGAGTCCTCTCCCTATGGAGTGGGTTCACGGCAGAGAGGCAACCACAGGCCCTTCCTCTCTCCCTGGGCAGCTGCAGGGGGTCTCGTGCAGGGAGCGGGGCCTGGGCAGCGGTGCCCAGGAGGCAGGGCCTGAGCTTGGCTCTGAAGTTCAGGGGGGAGGAGGGCAGGGGCTGCCATTCCTGGCCGGAAAGGACCTGCAGGACCGAGGGGTCCCCATCAGACAGCCTTGACCGGGCTCCGGAAGGCCAGGGCCGGGCAAGCACAACGCCCGTCTCAGCCGGGACGCTGGGGAGGAGTGCTGCCCTTCCTCTCCCTCCCACAGCCTGTGCACGGAGGTTCCAGGAGAGTCCCTCGAACCCCCGGACCCTGCCGCTCATCCCAGAACAGGCAGGGGTGTGAGGAGTGGCTGGGCTGGGACAAAGCCCCCGCTCACCTGGCAGCCCACCACAGAGCAGCGCCCTCTGCTCCCAGGCACGCAGGGCTCTGGGCTGAGGCAGGAAGCTCTGCAGCGCCCGCCCGCCCGGCACAACCACAGACGGCCGGCCGGCATGACGACGGGAGGTGCCAGCACAGCAAGACCAGAAGAAGAGCAGCTGCCACCGTCCCAGGGCTCAGAGGTGGGAGAGTGCCAATCTCCTGACTGCCCTTCTTTCTTCCTTTTTCTTTTTCTTTTTCTTTTTAAATGTGGAACACTTCACGAATTTGCGTGTCATCCTTGCACAGGGGCCATGCTAATCTTCTCGGTATCGTTCCAATTTTAGTACACGTGCTGCCGAAGCGAGCACTGCCTGCCCTTCTGAGTGCCTGCGACCTGACCCTGCCAGGGGCTGTGGTGGTCTCCCAAGGCTGGGCTTTCTGCCCTGGCTTCGGCTAAACGCCAAACACCAGGGTCAGCCAGAGCCGGGCCAGGCATGGGCGCCCCTGGCCTCGTGAAGCCAGCCACCTGGCTGGACACAGGACCGCCTCC